CCTTCTCCCAAACCGGCGACCCTCTCGTTCTAGAGTGTCCCACCTGAGGGAACATCCTCTGCCTGTCTCCATTCTCAGTCTCACACTCCTGCCATCAGGTCTCCTCTCCTGAACCCCAGAGAAACTGCCCCGTCTCTCTCCATAAGGCAGACCCCTCATCTTCTGGGATCGATCGAGTGAATCTCCTCCGAACTGCCTCCGACGCATCTACTTCGCTCCTCGAGTGAGGCTGTGGCGCTTTAGCTACTCTCCTCCGTTTCTCTGAACCGCCTCTGACGCAGCTCCATCCCTCCTCGAGTAGAGGGGACTGAAACTCTCTGGTGTGCCCCGGAGGCAGAAACGCCGATACTTTGCAGAGTGGCTGTGAACCCCACTTTGGATTCCATTCCTTTTGCAATAGATGCCACTTGCTCTCCATAGTACTGACTGTACGTGTGAAATAACATTCTGCGTTTCGTGCACAAGGACTCCCAGGTCCCTCTGCACTGAAACGCTCTGAAGTTTTCCTCCATTTGTGATAATGTGTCTTTCTATACCTCCAAATAAACCACCCTCACACTTACCCACGTTAACCACCAGATGCCAAATGTTGGCCCATTCACCTCAATTATCCATATCCATTTGGAAATTGCTCGTTGTTTTCTTTATAACGTGTTGCTCCACCTACACTGGAGCCATCATTTTAGCGATAATACTTCCTATCCCTGCGTCTGAGTCTTTGAGAGTCGACCACAAAAAGTGTACCGATGTACGGCACATTTTATCCGATTTGCGAGTGACAACGATAAATTAAATCAGAATCAATTCGAATCAGATCAATCCAGATTAAATCGGAATCAAATCAAATCACATCAAATCAGATTCAAACCAGATCAGATCAGATCAAATCATGTCGAGCCAGATTAAATCGGAATCAAATCAAATCACATCAAATTGAATCAATAAGATCAAGAACATACAATCAAATCAAATCACATCAAATCACATTCAAACCAGATCAGATCAGATCAAATCATGTCAAGCCAGATTAAATCAGAATCAAATCAAATCACATCAAATTGAATCAATAAGATCAAGAACATACAATCAAATCAAATCACATCAAATCACATTCAAACCAGATCAGATCAGATCAAATCATGTCAAGCCAGATTAAA